GCCGGGGCCAGGGGCTGCCCGGACATCTGGGTTCGGTCCCGGGGCTGGGGGCATTGGAGGAGGAGGGGACCCCCCCAGCCCCGGACACCTGGGGTCAATCCCAGCAAGCAGGGAGTGGGGCCGGTGGGTTGGAGCAGGAGGCTGGGACCCCGGACGCCTGAGTTGATTCACCCCAGGAGAGCCATCGTGTCGTGCGGGGGCTCCTGTGCTCTCCCCCCGGCTTCCTGCAGCCCCGAAGCCGTCCCCTGACCACCACCACCGCCCCACCGTCCCTCCCCGGCTGTGCGGGGAGTAGCCACTTCCCCTCTCCCCTTGGGGGGCCGTGAGGACCCGTTCAGCCTCCCCCAGCCCCGGGGAGCGAGACCGGGAGGGAACAGGCCTGCGGGTGTCAAGCCAGGCCAGGGCCCCCCAGCATCGCCCCTCCAGAGCCTCGACTTACCCCATCTGTGAAATGGGCTCAGCCACCCCCAATCGTTTGGGCAACCAAGCCTGTAGGTACCCATCCTGGCCCAGCTCCCACCACGGCACCTCTGTGAGACCGTCCTGGGGGGCGTGCCATCCCCAACCAGGCCTGGTGTTTGCCAGCACCTTGGGGCCAGGCCTGGCCATGCGAGGGACTTGGGGGTCTCTGCCAGGCCCTGGCGCGGGGAACTGCACCTTTCAAGGGCCCTGAAGGACCACCAAGGTGGGTGAGGGGCTGGGGGCAGCCCCCCTCTCTGCCCCCGTGCGCCCGGCCTGGCTGAGGAGCCCACCGCCCCCCGGGCCTGGCTCTGCTGCCGGGGGCATTGCGCATGGCCCCAATTTGCACCCCCCCGCCGGGGCGGCTGGGTCTGGGGGGAACAGCCTCTGGGGGGATCCCCAACCGCCCCCCTCCCCGCTCCCCGGCTTGTTCTCTATTTTGTTCATGTATTTCTTTTATTTCTGGTTTTACACGTTTTCGTTTGTCTCATCCCGTTTCCTCTTTACGGTGTTTTATTTATCGATTTTATTGCACTTTATTTATTTTTCATTTCATTTATTTTTATGTGTCATCTTGTTCTGTTTTATTTATTGGCGTTATCTTCAATTTGTTTTATTTCATTTAATTTATTATTTTATTTCATTTTCTTTATTATCTTGCTTTCCTTCATGTTTTAGTTATTCTACATTTTTATATATTTTATTTTATCTTATATTTTATTTTTAACTTGGTTTATTGTCTGTTTTGTCCTATTTTAGTTTGTTTTTTATTTTAATTTCTTTATTTTATTTTATTACTTTATTCTGATTTTATTGATTATTTGTATTGTATTTATTCTTTATTTATTATTTATTCTATTCGATTCTCTTTATTTTTTTATTTGTAATCTTATTTTATTCTATTTATTCTATTTATCTTGTTTTGATTATTTGATTATTTTATTACATTTTATTTTTCAATATTTTATCATCTTATTTGATTTGATTGATTGATTATTGTATTTGTTATCGTATTTTATTCTATTTCTTATTTTATTTATTAACTTATTCCATTTTATTCTAGTTGATTTTATTTATTCTTTGATTTGATTTGATTTGATTTGATTTTTTTACCGGCTGGCCTCGAGCAAGTGTTTGTGGGTCCCAGGCTCTGTCCCAGGCCCCGGGGGGGGGATGTGGGGGCCGGGAGCCCGGACACCTGGCTTCTCTCCTGGCTCGGGGGAGGTCTGGAGGCCTTTTAGAGGGTTTCTGGACCCCCGC